CAACTGCCTCCTTGAAACTACTCACTTTTTACAACTTTCAGCTATAAGATCATCTCTAATAATCTGCCTTAATTTCCTACATGTGTATTATTGTCCTTTGGGTCATATTCATATCTAAATCTGGAAAAGCTCCTGAAAGCAGAAACCCTGTGGATAATGTCCGCATAAAGTTTAAACACAACTTGAAAATATACCTACATATTCTTAGCAACTTAAATCATAACTTAAAAAGCAATATGGATTTGAAGCGCTACCCCGAGATTTTGTATTCCACAAACAAGTATCCTTTATATCATCTGTTTCGTTATCTTTGAAAAGGATTATAGCTATTACTCTCAGAGCGATAGCATAAAATTTGTAAGATAAGCTTCTTTCTATGAATAAAGACAAGAGTTGGAGCTGACGTAAGAAAGTGCCTCCCTGTGATGGGAGCCCACCTAGATGCTTACATCTTACAGCAGTACATACGCTCACAACCTTCCCTATTGATGCTGTATTCCTGTATCAGGCAACGCTTTCAGCGATGCCACCTAGAGAAGCTGTAGAGTAAGTCATGATCTTTCCCAAGGATTAAAGGAAATAAACAGTGAAGAAGATAATTGGTAAAGCGAAAAGTGATACAAAGATGCAATTAAGGTACACAATCATCGAGAGAAGAAACAAAATTACACTCCAAAGGTAGAAAGAAATGGGCCAAGGATGTATAGAATAGCAAAAGGTATGCAAATGCAGGTAATGGGAACCCAGAAGAAAATGGGGACTGATTAAATGGTCTAGGCTTATTACTGTGAAGTCTCAGTCAAAATCAGGCATGAGGAATAATGCAGGAAGACCACACAGTTGCTCTTCTCTGTTGGTGTAAAATAAAATTAAAGGAAAGGGCTGAATCCATTGCCAATCAAAACCATTCTGAAACGAGCTTCTTTTTAGGCCACTCTAATGAGAGTGTTTAGCTTCAATCCATGCTGGTAAAACAGTATGCATTAAAAACAAAGGGATGAAGACCTCTGCTGAAAATGTCTGACATCACATGGGAAGCGCTATGTGTTTCAATTCCAAGTACTTTAAAAACAAATTTGCCTAGCATATTTTAAATTTTCTAATTTCAGTTAGTGTACATTGCTGTTTAATTCACAATTAGAGGATGAGCTAGCATTATTTGCCCTAGTGACAATAAACTTCTGGAAATCCCTGGGCATCTGCAAAATTTATAGAACTGAACACCTAAAACACGAGTGTGAGGAAGAGATATAATACAAAAAACTCAGGAATGCACAGTGCCGCCAGACGTAACATTAGAATTCCAAAACTGAAAAACAGAACAACAATTTAAAAAGCACACAATTTTGGAAGCTCCCATAACAAAGTTCACTGTATTCACGTATCTGCTAAAAGACATTATTCTTAGATTCAGATCCTGCCTGCAGCTACACTGGGAGTACAGATAGAAATAAAAGTCAAGAGGATTATACCATCCCAACACACTGCAAGGAGAAGAAATGGAGCTGCGGGAGCATGGTACTGCAGCCCATTCCCCACGGCCTCGAGGGGCACGCCGGGACCCCCAGCGCACCCACGGACATGCTGCAGTCAGCAGGATGTCACACCCTGGGACACACGCGGCGGCGTCCCCAGACAGCGCCAAAGCCAGCTTCATCGCATCGCTTCCATCCCACACTGCCTGCCCCATTTCTGCAAGCTGAACTGGCAGCCTCCTGCTCTGCTCTGCCCTGTCCTGTCTCACTGCATCACATCCCAGTTAGACTTTGCCTTACCATTCTGGCCAGAGCACAATTTTTCTTCTGGTTGGTACTGTAGCGCGATACCAGCTCTGACTCTTCTGGTATTTTATTACATCGGTGGGATGCACACAGGGAGCTGTGCAAGGGGACTGACAGCAGCGGGCACATCGCTGGCATTTGCTCTGCGGCTGTGAGGTTACGTAACGCTGTGATAGTCTGAAGTAGATGTTGCCCGCCGACACAGACGATGTGCTGTCAGTAGCTGGATGTTACAGAACACAAGGTACGTTGAAAAATCAGTGGTGTAATTCTGTGTATGGGTATACATTTGTATGGGGCAGGAACATAGGGCAACCTAAGAACTGAAATCTTTAATCAGTTTTCATGTCAGAAAAGTTTGTGACTAAACTCCTTTTTGAGTCCAACAAGATAAGGATTCAGTCCTTAATTAAAAGGCAGGGATAATACATAATGAAGATTAAGAAAATGATTCCATATTTTTCCTTGACAGCAGCATTAGCCCAGACTACTTTATGCTTTGTTTGAATGGAGAAACAAAATGTAATTAAAGTTTTAATTAAAATTGATCGCAGTCCACAAACCTGAAATGCGTAGTGCTGTTCTAACACTGCACTGGAAGACCTTTCAAGTAAACTGATGTTCTGTGTTATTAAAAAAAAGAAAATAAAAAAAGGCATTCTGTCGAGTAAATGGGTAGTAGTGAAAACTAATAAGTGTGAAAATGTGTCATAGAAACAACCTACTAGTAAGCATGAATTCTGAAAGGGTCAGTGAACATGCATTTTACAAAGACTGAGCCTGCTCACATACTTATTTTCCCCTGAATGTGAGGAATCTGTTCGTTACCATATTCTGGCTAGTAAATATGTGCATCTTTTTTCTTCTTTATAAAGAGGTGATGGTACCTCTGAGAGCCAACCTTTTTAATCAATAAAGGAAGAGACTGCCCATCCACAGAAATACTCGATACAGAATAATGCTAAAAATATTCTGCCAGCAGAATTGTTGGGAGAAGTACCTGTATCTCTTAAAACACATCTGTTACATTAACATCTACTGTATAAGAACATGAAATTTATTCATTTGGTCTTTCGCTAATTGGCCAAGGCTCTGATGTGCAAGTAATCAGACTTCAAATTTAATGAAAAGGGCAGGTTTTTTTCAATTACCCTCTTATCTGCACGGTTTCTTTGCCAGACAAAAAGCCCAGTGGTGCCAGTAACCGCCGCCCCCGGCCTTGCTGCACTGTGCGGGGCGATGCGGGGTTTGGGGGCGCGGGTCCCCCAGCGGTACCTCTGCAGCAGGCAGGAGCTCCGGCCCCCCAGGACTCCCCCCCTCCCACCTCCAAAAAGCCCTTGAACGGGCTCCTCCTGGGGCAGGCAGTGGGGTGGAGGGGGTCTGCAGTTACATAAGATGAGGCTCCCCCCACCTCCCCTCTTCCCCCCCCAATCTCCGACCGTTTCTCCCCACGACGGAGGCCGGAGCAGCCAACCCACGATGGGGCAAGGCAGGGGAATGCCGGGGGGGGGGAACCCCAGCAGAGGAAAGACTCAGGGGGCTGGGGACAGGATGCAGGGGGACCTTGCAGGTGGCTTCATGCAGGGAGTGGACGGCCCGGCTTGGGGGGGGCGGGAAGAAGGCATTCCCCGGTGGGGAGAGCGGGCGGGGGGGAGGACTCCGGGGAGGTGGGAACACCCCCGGTGGGGAGAGGGAAGCCTTGCCCCGGGGGAGCCGGCGGCACGGGCAGCCCCGCAGCGGGAGGGCTGGAGGTGCACCATGGGGGTGGGCTGTGCGGGCCCCTTCCAGCAGCCCCCCCCCCCCCCCCCCCCCCCCAGTAACACCATCACCACCACCGTCCCGGCGCGGCACCCCCGTGCCCGCGGGAAGCGTCCCCGCCGCAGCGCGGTGCTCAGCGCGCTCCCCCGGGAGCCGGCCCTCCACGGGGCGGGGGGGGGAGGAAACTGGGAAGAGGAGGGAGAAGCAGCCCCCCCGGGGCACCGGCAAGCATGTGTGTGTGTGTGTGTGTGTGTGTGTGTGTGTGACCGCACAGCACACCTCCCCGGCGGCAGGCAACTCATTTTCCAGCAGCGCCTGCGCGCAAAGTTGCGCCGGCCAGGCTGCCCCTCGCCCGCGCTCCCTCCCTCCGCAGCCGCGCAAGCCCCCGGCCCCCGCAGAGACCTCGCACTCCGCTCGAGTCAGCGCGGAAAACGCCTCGCCTTCCTACCCCCCCACCCCCACGCTCACGATCTGCTTCAATCTGCTCCGCCTTTTGTTTTGATCTCTGGAAACGAAATGCTCTCTCCTGCCGTCTCCTTTCCCTCCTCCTCCTCACGCCTTCGTGTGGGAAATGACTCTGATCGCACACCGGCTTTTGTTATCTCCTCCCACCTCCATTTTCGCTCCGGCTGATGCCCAAGTAAATAGCCGGAGCCCGGCACCTCTGCCCCGCACCTACCGCGCCGGAGGGGCGAGGCGAGCGCACCCACTCGCAAATGCAACCTCCTGAAAACACCTCGCACGTTGAATAAAATAGAATAATAAAATTAAAGAAAAAAAAGAAATCTCGTACGGGCGGATCAGTAAAGCGATCGCAAGGACCGGGAGCACTTCTGCCTTCCCAGTGGGTGTGATGACCTTGCCCTTGCGAGGATTGCTCTTGCTCTTCGGTTTCGCACGGTCTTTTTTTTTTTTTTTGCATTTCCCACCCCCCACTACTGGGAAAAAAAAAAAAATAACCATCTTTTCGGTATCTCCGTTCAAATGAACAAGAGCGCCAAAGACTTCCACTTTCGCCCAAACATTTCCGAGCGCAAATCGTTAAGCGACAGAGCAGTGCTTCCCCTGGATGCGGTCCGCAATTATATGTCCGGATCGATGCGGGATTCAGTCCCTTACCTCGCAACAGTTCACGGCGGATCGCTGCGGGGACAAATTTCGCCCCGTCTCGCCCGTGAAACGACAACTCCCGCGCACGGAGCGGCGGACACCCACCGCGCACATCAACTTTCCCGGCGAGGAGGAGCGCCAAGGAGCGGCCGCGCTACCCACGCCGGTCCCAGCCGGCCCCCCTCCGCCGCCTTCCCGGGAGGAAAATCCCCGCGCGGGGTAACGCGGAACAACCCCCCCACACACCCCGTCCCTCGCCGCCCGGCGGGCAGCTCCGCCGCCGGCGCCCCGGCAAAGCTTCCCGCCGAGTCCCGGAGCCCACCCCGCCACTGGCACCCGGGGCGCACTTACAGAAGGCGCCGAGAGCTGTTCCGCGGGTGCGGAGGAGGGCGCTGAGCCGCGGGGTCCCGCCGCGGTGCTGGGGCCGGAGGGACGGCGGCTCGGTGCGCGCCCGCTCGCGCCGCAGCTCACTCCCGCCGCCGCCGCCGCCGCGCGCGCCCCCGCTCCGCCCCGCGCGCCCGCCCGCCCCGCACTGCAGACCGCCGCCCCGCGCACGCCCCGCGCACGCGCCGCCCCGCGCCCCGAGCATGCGCGCGGCCCCCCCCGCCCCTCCCGCCGCCGCTGCCGCGGGCGTCAGGGAGGGGGAAGCGTTGGGAGAGGGGCAGGAACACCCCCCCCCCACACACACACACACACCCCCCCGCGGGGGTTGAGGCCGGCGCCTCAGCGTCGCTCCGGTGACTCCGGCAATAAACGGCAGCGGCCTGACCCGGCGCGCCCCGTGCCCGGCGTCGTCCCTGGCCGTCGCGCCTGTGCGGGGTTGGCGCCTTTTTTTTTTCACCCAGCGCGTGAAGCCGTCCGTCGCGGTCGCGCGTGAGGGGACGGCACCGCGCAGGGACCCCCCGCCTGGAGCCACCTGTAGCCGTCAGCCGACGCGTGCAGATGGCGTGCTGCGTTGCCAGCTGCACTTCCATCGGTGGCTCTTCTCCACAAGCTTCTTAGGACAGCGTGGAAGTTACCGTTGGATGGTTTAACCAGTGTAACGCTGCTCGGCCCTTTGATCTTGCCCTTGAGTATAAAATCCAGCTGATGTTGCCCTTCCCTCGCTGTCACGGCGATAGTTGCTGTGCTGGTGGGAGTGAAGGTGATGGCTCGTTCACTAGGCATTGCGCAGCATATAACTAATTGGTTGGCCCCTTCTAAGGCAAATACATACATAAATGTTTACTTTCATGCATGGCAAGTTCTGTCACTGAGTGTTTACCATACATAAATAGAACATACTTAGCATGTCCTAGGCGTAACATTAGAGAAAGCAGATAGGTACAGCAAGGAAGTGAAAGAGCAAAATAATGGCATTTATTAAAAAGGAGTATCTAAATCAAGCCATGCCCTTTTTTATTTTGCTGTTCATTATTGCAGAAAAAAAAAAAAAACAAAAAAAACCAAAACAACAAACAAAGATTGTATAATACATGATAGATGATAATAGTTTTTAGTTTATTGTTGAAATGTTCAAAGAATTCAATTATAACTCAAGCTGATGCGTTAGGTATTGTACAAGTGCACATGAAGATACAGTCTTTTTACTTTGCTGAAGTAAACAATTGAGTTAATTAGTTACCTGTGTGATAAGCAAAAATCACTAATTTTACACCCAGATTTAATTTTGTTTTGCCATAAGACAATAATTTATACACTTTTTTTTGGACTTTCCCAGAGCACTGCTCTTCCTCAGATCATATTTTGACTTTCCATAAGTGCAAAAATGCAGCCTGAAAATGCTAAAAATGTAGGTTGATTCCAGACTTAGCACAAGCAAAGAGTTAGGAGGTAATTCACTTCACTGAGTATCTCTGAAATTTCTGTTTTATTTGTTCTGATTAATTTAAATTATTTTCTGTCATCTTCATACTTTACTACCTCATTGCTCGCTTGGCCTGCCAGATCATTAATAATCATTTTTAGCATAATGAGAGTGCTGTGGAATCTGCATGGTAAGTATTAACCATATTGTTCCCTCATATTTTCTTTCTCTTGTTCATTTCCTTACAAGTTTGTCTCATCGTCACAGTGCACCGTTAATTCTGTGTGACCTATTTTGATGGTGTCCACACGGCAGTTACTGCACATGACTTCATCTCATCTTGGTAACTCTTCCAGTGGCAGCAGGGTGGCCGTGGGAGTGCAGAGCTATAAAGTGTTGGCTATAACACCAGATATTTACTTGGTGTCTTAGTTGCAGTTTGCTGCGGTTTCGCTCTTTCACAACTACTGAGGTAGCAGTATCTCAGTCAGCTGGTTGAAAGCTAGTTTGGGGTTGTCTGCTGTGTAACTGGCCCTTATAGATGACATGCCTTTCGATATCATTGGGGGTCGTCCTTTTCAAAAAGGTGCTTAGCATTTGCTTGCACTCAAAAAGCAAAAATTATAGGTTGAATTTTAAAACATTGTGGCTAAAGCACATTTAAATAGGACTTTTAATATGTAATTTTTCATTTAATTCGGTGGCAGAATTCCCGTCTACTATAAAAAGTGTAGATTAAGCAGAAGATACTATGTAGTGTGTTTTCATGTACAATCTTCCCTGTCTACATTCAGATAATTCTGTATAAAATCAGGTTACTTAGACTGTGTTTTCAGATGCATTTGAAGATATGATGCTCACTATAAAAAAAAGAAGTGCTCTAAGGTATTAGTCTATTAAACTTTGGCTTATTTTTTCATTTACATCAATCTAACAGTGTAATACAAAATCCCATTTGAAAAGTAAATATATATATAAAATCTCTTCATTTGTAGTATTACTGCTTAGTCCAAAATGCCCACAAAGAAGCTTCATTTTGCTGTAAATCGACAATTTGGTAAATGTTGCCTATTAAACCATGCACAGGGTTATCATTAAAAAGGTAATAATGACATTATCAACAGTTGTGCTATTATGACACGGTTTACACTGTGCTGTCCTACACCGTATGCAATTGCTGAAGGCTTTTGTGAGCTTGCTGTAAAAGTTTACCAGTTCATACTATTAGCATTTTCAGCCACTTAATATCGCTTTTTAGACTGTGGAGAATTAGATCCACTGCACTTGTTTATTATATAGATAATTGTAAGGTTTTCCATTTTCTTGCTATACAGTTCTTTGGATTTTGAAAATGGAACTAGTTGCTGCCATTTAGCAACTTTAAATGGTTTTTGAACCTAAAGAACAGATTGCTCATGATGGAGCTACAGCAATTTAAGCAAAATCAGAATCTGACCCAAGGTTTTCTATTTAGTCTATATTTTTTATTTTAACATCAGAAGGAGCAATGTAAATATAAGGTTCTTAGCTTATGAATGAATAGCACCAAAATGTAGGTACATGCTCCTTTTACAGTCCGCCCTGGCTTACATGTGTCTCGTGTCTCCTTTAGGCTTTGAATCCTAAATGTTCTGCCTTTGAAAAAAGCCAAGTGATGCCCTAAGCCTCTGATCTTGTCAAGGGAGATAGATAGGCATCTCCAGAGGGAAATGCAAAATCTAATGAAATCGAGGATCTTCCACTCCTTTTTTCTCTCCCTTCTTTGCTCCAGAGTAGAGAATTCAATATTAAAAGACACAGTAGTCTCTGAGAGGAGTCACTATCTCAGCACGTGGTTTACTGGTAATGAAATTTTTTTATTATTTTTTTTTTAGCATGACCTCCTGTTTTACAGACACCAATTTAATTGCAGAATACCATTTCAGGGGTTGCAATTTCCCCTCTTCCCTTTAAGCTCAATACTTGCGAAGAATCTATTTGCATATATATTTTACGAGAATCAACAGCAGAATAACTATAATGAGGAGGAATTTGAGTCTATATTTACATCTATAACTGTATACTTTATGTTCTGCCAGGCCTTTTGAAGGAATTATTTCCTTTCTCTCCTCTGTTCCCTTCATGCAGTTTCTGCACGCTGAAATGTACTTGTCTGTTACATGGGGAACTGAAAGCAGCAATGCGGCTGCAAGGATTGACAGAAGGGAGCTGCCTCGAGGCTCTATGATTAAATGAAGCTGCTGCAACACACTGCAGTTGGAAAAGGGTGAGATTCTTGATACTCAACAGCAAACAATGAGTGTGACTGAGATTATTGGTTTCAAAATGACTGTAGATTGTCTTGCTTCTTTAATGTGCTATATATAATTATATGAAAATTACATTTTTATGCATATGTATTATCTTTCACATTCATCTCTCATTCATTTTACAGTAATGCCCCTAAGAATATAAATAAAACAAAATGTACTTACTTTAGTAATAAATCCAATTTTCCCTCTTTATGAAATGTAGTGATTTTAGGTATACAGATCACTTTTGTGTGTGTCAAATCCAATAATTTGTAATTCGGTCTTTTTATTAATGAGATTGTTTATTAGTCTTCAATTTCTCAGGCTTATGGAATGAAATGTAAAGAAAATACCGTTTATGTAACATCATCTCTGATGTTGTATAATACAGTCACAACTAGGGGGTACATGCAATGCCTAACTTTAGATACCTAAATTTGATAGCTGAATTACTTGCCTATTTCCTTTCAATGCCTCTGGTGTCAACGAAAATAAAAAGAAGCCCTGACAGGGGATTCAGACCAGGAACTTGGCTACCAGGAGTCAAGAAAAAAACATATTTTAAGTTTAGGCACCTAAATGAAGTGTCTAAAGCTAGATGGCAGGAGCCCAGGTTTCGCTCCAGTAGGCTGTTTCCCACAGAAGCTGTTCCAGTTGTTCTCCATAAGTGAGTCATTTGCTCAAGTGGAAATAAAAGGTTGACATTCTGGACCTGAGAAATATAAGCTTCAAGTAAATAATGGGTGTTTAGAAAGATAGGAATGACAAAACTTGGAAGCATTTCATTTTCTACAAATGTCCTAAACATAGCATCATGCTTTCTTCTGCCATTTAGCTCAAGGCAGAACTCTTACATATACAAAATAATTCCTGTGAAGTCAAAACTGTTATGCAGTCTTGAGGTGTTCCAAGAGGGCTTTGTTTGCTTATTTGATCCATGAGTGATTGTCTTTAGCTAAAATATTGTAATGGTGACATATAAAAGAATGAAATGCAGCTGTAGAAATAATAGTAAATAATAAAGGAAATTAAAATAAAGGAAAAGACCACAAATTTCAGATAGGTTAGCAGATTTATTAATAATGAAATACTTGGTTTTACCAACACACATCAAAACAAGCAAGATGCTACCTAACCCTTTTTTAGACACCAGATTATTTTATTCAGTTTGCCTGCATTTTTGTCATTATTATTATTGTTTGTCATACAGTTCTGTATGATTAGTAATACTCCTGTGCTGTGATATGAATGTACTTTATACTAAAAAATGACAGAGAGGGTAGGTGGAGAATAAAGGTTGCAGCAGGACTGTTTACTTGCTTGTGGACAAAATGTACTCGAATCTTGGTGGACATGTAGGTAGTTATCTTTTTATAATTAACTGCACTGTGAGACAGGATGACTTTTCATAATAGTCTTTATT